TCATTGCCATCATCATTGCCATCGTCATCGTCATCGTTATCATTATCATCATTATCATCGTTATCATCATCAACATCATCATCATCATCATCATCATCATCATCATTATCATAATCATCATTATGATTATTATCATTATTATTATCATCATCATAATCATAATCATAATCATTATTATCGTCATCCTCATCGTCATCATCATCGTCATCGTCATCGTCATTATCATCACCATCGTCATCGGTATCATCATTATCATTGTCATCATCATCATCTTTATCGTCATTATCATTATCTTTATTATCATCGTTATCATTATCATTGTCATCGTCGTCGTTATCGTCATTATTATCGTCATTGTCATTGTCATTGTCGTTGTGGTCGTTATTAATATCATTATTATTATTTACACTATTATCATTATAATAATTAACATTTTTATCATTATTATTATCATCACCATCGTTAAAATCATTATAATTCTGATCATTTTTGTCGCAAATATAATTAATATTGATCTCGACATTGTCATTGTCGTTGTCGTCATCATTGTCGTCATTGCTATCGTCGTCATAGTTGTTGTTGTCATCGTTATCATTATCGTTATTAATTTTATAATTATCATCGTCATAAGCATCATTATCATAAATATTTTTATTATTATCATAATCATTAACATAGTTATTCTTATCATCTGTATTGTTATTACTTTAATCATCATTATTATTATTTTTATTATCATCATTATCAGCATTATCATCATTATCATCATTTTTAGTATCACCATTATTATTGTAACTATCAACATTATCGTCATTCCTATCGTTTGCATTATTACTATCATTATCATTGTTATTATCATCATCATATCATTATTATTATTATTATTATTATTGATCTTCTCATTGGCATCGTTATTGTCATCGTTATCGTTTATTATAATTGTCATCGTCATAGTCATTGTCTTTGTTGTCGTCGTCATTATCATTGTTATTATCATTATTAACATCATTATAATCATTATCATTTTTGTCATCGTCGTCATCATCGTTGTTGTCGTTGTCGTCATCATTATTACTGTTTTTATCATTATAATCATTATCATCACATTTATCTATTTCACCATTATTTGCGTTATTATTAACATCATTATCATCACCATTATTATCGTTACTATTATTATAATTATTATAATCATTAACGTCATCGTCATTATCATCATCGTCATCATCATGTCTATCGTCATTGTCATCGTCGTATTCATTGTCATCTGTATTGTTGTGGTCGTGATCGTTATCGTCGTTATCATGCTTATTATTATCGTCATCATCATGATTGATATTGTCATCATCATCATTATCATCATCATTATCATTATTATCATCGTCATCATCATTGTTATTATTATAATTATCATCATCATCACTATCGTCAATATTTCAATTATTAATACTATTATTGAAATTTTTCTTATAATCATTATTACTATCGAAATTATCTTCATCATTTTAATTGTTATTAACATTGTCATTGTCGTCGTCGTTTTCATCATTTTTAAAGTAATTAACATTGTCATTGTCGTTGCCTTTGTCATTATTTTCAATGTTATCAACATTGTAATTGTCATCGTCGTTGTCATTAGCATCGTCGGCTTTGTCGTCGTTGTCATTCTCATCGTCGTTGTTATTTTTGTCGTCATCGTCGACCGTGTAGTTGTTGTCGTTGTCATTGTCCTGATTATCGTTTCATTATTGTTGTCATTGTCATCATGATCATTATTGTTGTCATCATTATCATAGTCATTATTATCATTATCAATTCCGTCATCATTATTCTTATCATCATTATAATTATCACTATTATTATTATTATCATTGTTATTATTATCATTATTATAATCATCATCATCATCATCATCATCATTTTTATCATTATCATCATCATCATCATCATTATCATTATCATCATTATGATCATCATCAACATCATCATCATCATCATCTTTGTTATCACCATTATTGTTTTTGTTATCGACATTGTCATTGTGGTCATCGTGATTATTTTCGTCATTATTGTCGTCGTTGTCGTCGTTGCTGTTGACGTCATGATCGTCCTCGTCGTAGTTGTCGTCGTTGTTGTTGTCATGATTATCGTAATTATCATCATTATCATCATCATCATCATCATTATTATCATTGTCATCATTATCATTATCATTATTATAAACATTATTATTATCACAATCGTCATCATCATTATTATCATTATTGCCATTATTATCATCATTATTATCATTATTGCCATTATCATCATTGTCATTATCATTATCATCATATTATTATTATCATTAGTCTTATTATTATCCTTATTCTCATAGTCATTGTCATCGTCATTAATATCGTTATTATTACTCTCTTTGTTATCGTCGTCGTCTTTGTCATCGTCGTCATTATGATCATCATTATCATCATAAACATTTTTATAATTATTATTATCATTATCATTGTCGTCATCGTTTTTGTTGTCGTTTTCGTTGTCATCGTTATCGTTATTATTATTATTATCACTAGTAATATCATCATTATAATCATTATCGTCATTTTTAATATTATTTTTTTTGTTATTATTATCATCATCATTATCATCATTACTATTGTCATCTTTATTATTATCATTATCATCATCATTATAATCATTATCGTCATTTTTAGTATTATATTTTTTTGTTATTATTATCATTATCATTATCATCTCTACTATCGTCATCATTATTATTATCATTATTATCATCATTATTATCATTTTCATCATTATTTTTGTCATTGTGATAATCTTTATCATTATCATTATGATCATCATTATTATTATTATTATTGTTATTTTCAATATCATCAATATTATAATTATCATAATTATTATCATTATTATCATTATCATCATCATTGTCATCATCACTATTATTATCTTTAGCATTATTATCATCATCAGTATCGTCATCATCATTACTATCGTAATTATCTTTATCATCATCATCGTCATCGTCATCATCATTAACGGCATTATCATGATTATCGTCATCATCATCGTTGTCCTCATCGTCATCGTTGTCATGGTTGTCGTCGTTGTTATTGTCGTCATTATTATTATAATCATCGTCATTATTATCGTCATCGTCATCATTATTGTTATCGTCATCGTTATCGTCTTCGTCATCTTTCTCGTAATTGTCATCATTATCATTATCGTCATTGTCATTGTCCTTCTCATCGTCGTTGTTGTCGTCGGTATCGTTAATGTCATTGTGACCATCATCGTTCTTGTTATTGTCGTTTTCTTGACGTTTTTATTTTTGTCCCCATTTTTATCGTTGTCGTTGTCGTTATCGTTGTCGTTGGTGTCGTTGTCGTCGTTATCTTCATCATTATTGTTATTATCATTATTATCATTTTTTTTTAATTAATATTATTATTATTCGTTATTAATATCATTATTATTATTTACACTATTATCATTATAATAATTAACATTTTTATCATTATTATTATCATCACCATCGTTAAAATCATTATAATTCTGATCATTTTTGTCGCAAATATAATTAATATTGATCTCGACATTGTCATTGTCGTTGTCGTCATCATTGTCGTCATTGCTATCGTCGTCATAGTTGTTGTTGTCATCGTTATCATTATCGTTATTAATTTTATAATTATCATCGTCATAAGCATCATTATCATAAATATTTTTATTATTATCATAATCATTAACATAGTTATTCTTATCATCTGTATTGTTATTACTTTAATCATCATTATTATTATTTTTATTATCATCATTATCAGCATTATCATCATTATCATCATTTTTAGTATCACCATTATTATTGTAACTATCAACATTATCGTCATTCCTATCGTTTGCATTATTACTATCATTATCATTGTTATTATCATCATCATATCATTATTATTATTATTATTATTATTGATCTTCTCATTGGCATCGTTATTGTCATCGTTATCGTTTATTATAATTGTCATCGTCATAGTCATTGTCTTTGTTGTCGTCGTCATTATCATTGTTATTATCATTATTAACATCATTATAATCATTATCATTTTTGTCATCGTCGTCATCATCGTTGTTGTCGTTGTCGTCATCATTATTACTGTTTTTATCATTATAATCATTATCATCACATTTATCTATTTCACCATTATTTGCGTTATTATTAACATCATTATCATCACCATTATTATCGTTACTATTATTATAATTATTATAATCATTAACGTCATCGTCATTATCATCATCGTCATCATCATGTCTATCGTCATTGTCATCGTCGTATTCATTGTCATCTGTATTGTTGTGGTCGTGATCGTTATCGTCGTTATCATGCTTATTATTATCGTCATCATCATGATTGATATTGTCATCATCATCATTATCATCATCATTATCATTATTATCATCGTCATCATCATTGTTATTATTATAATTATCATCATCATCACTATCGTCAATATTTCAATTATTAATACTATTATTGAAATTTTTCTTATAATCATTATTACTATCGAAATTATCTTCATCATTTTAATTGTTATTAACATTGTCATTGTCGTCGTCGTTTTCATCATTTTTAAAGTAATTAACATTGTCATTGTCGTTGCCTTTGTCATTATTTTCAATGTTATCAACATTGTAATTGTCATCGTCGTTGTCATTAGCATCGTCGGCTTTGTCGTCGTTGTCATTCTCATCGTCGTTGTTATTTTTGTCGTCATCGTCGACCGTGTAGTTGTTGTCGTTGTCATTGTCCTGATTATCGTTTCATTATTGTTGTCATTGTCATCATGATCATTATTGTTGTCATCATTATCATAGTCATTATTATCATTATCAATTCCGTCATCATTATTCTTATCATCATTATAATTATCACTATTATTATTATTATCATTGTTATTATTATCATTATTATAATCATCATCATCATCATCATCATCATTTTTATCATTATCATCATCATCATCATCATTATCATTATCATCATTATGATCATCATCAACATCATCATCATCATCATCTTTGTTATCACCATTATTGTTTTTGTTATCGACATTGTCATTGTGGTCATCGTGATTATTTTCGTCATTATTGTCGTCGTTGTCGTCGTTGCTGTTGACGTCATGATCGTCCTCGTCGTAGTTGTCGTCGTTGTTGTTGTCATGATTATCGTAATTATCATCATTATCATCATCATCATCATCATTATTATCATTGTCATCATTATCATTATCATTATTATAAACATTATTATTATCACAATCGTCATCATCATTATTATCATTATTGCCATTATTATCATCATTATTATCATTATTGCCATTATCATCATTGTCATTATCATTATCATCATATTATTATTATCATTAGTCTTATTATTATCCTTATTCTCATAGTCATTGTCATCGTCATTAATATCGTTATTATTACTCTCTTTGTTATCGTCGTCGTCTTTGTCATCGTCGTCATTATGATCATCATTATCATCATAAACATTTTTATAATTATTATTATCATTATCATTGTCGTCATCGTTTTTGTTGTCGTTTTCGTTGTCATCGTTATCGTTATTATTATTATTATCACTAGTAATATCATCATTATAATCATTATCGTCATTTTTAATATTATTTTTTTTGTTATTATTATCATCATCATTATCATCATTACTATTGTCATCTTTATTATTATCATTATCATCATCATTATAATCATTATCGTCATTTTTAGTATTATATTTTTTTGTTATTATTATCATTATCATTATCATC